CCAGTTCCTGCACTGGGGGCAGGAGCCTCCCAGGGACCACGTCCTGCCCCAGCTGCCAGGTACCAAGAGGAGGAACCGGGAGCCCCTGCGTTGCTTTAGGAGGCAGAAAGCTGAAAGAGTTGGTGGTGACGGAAGGTCTGTACTTACCACCAGATCCCAAGAGTCAGGGAGTCTGGGTGGCCTGAGTCTTTGGATTACTAAAAGGGTTCTAGAGAAGTTGTGAAACTTTATTCTTTTCCCCATTCCCAACCTTGCTTAATTCTTCCTGCAACCCGCTCCATATTAGTAATTTGCGAAGTTTCTGGGGATGTAAGGAAAGAACTGGCTGATTGAAAACTACCTAACCCTAAAATCCTCAAACTCTTCCAGGTTAGGTGTTATCTTAACAGACTTCCCTACCAGAATGAAAAGCAAAATTTTAAAGAGATGTCTTCAAAAAACACTGCTACTACAGTTGAAAACAAGATGCGTCACAGTGTTGGGTCTTCCATAGGTCATCCATGTCAAGTACCTAAGTGGCCAGGTGCCTATGAACTTCAAAAATGTTTGCTCTTCCTCCAGGGAATGCAGTTCACCGAATTCCCCAGCCTCCCTTGCCCCTCAGCACGACCAGGGGACTTAGGAAGGCCGATGGGATGGGCAGACACCACTTCCCATGCATGGTCCTCCACCCTCTCTCCTCCCCTGCACATCGACACAACACAGAAGATGGGGCAGAGGACTCTGAAGCCTTGGAGGCTGGTGGAGCCACAGAATGAAGGAATCTGGGTCCCTGAATCTTTGTCAACTTAGGTAACACTGAACTGTTACAGGAACAAGAAATAAACTTCAAATGTGTTAAGTCAATGAGATTTTGAGGTTGTTGTTTAGCCTACCTTAATAAAGAAATTTTCAATGAACCCACGATGGCCCACTCGCGTATAAAAGTCAGTATAGAATCCCAGTATAACACATGAATTCTAGTTCAAATTTATCAGAGTGGTCAACCTGAGATAAGGAATGAGAGACAGCAATGAGAGCTGGTCAATGAAAATAATAACTAAAAAAAAAAAAAGGTTGGAAAGCCGAGCTAGAGAAAGGGTAAACCTACATATCAGATTTGGGGGGATGGTCCTGATGTTAAATATCCTCACTATAATGATTTATCCCCATTTGGGCTCAGAGAAAACATGCTCACCATAGCTAAGTTATACCTAAAAATATTTTCAATATTCTTAAGTTAAATGTAGGATTGAACCATTTTAATTTGATTCTATATTAATTTATAAGATGGGCATCTCCACAAAGGACTAAACAAAGGGCTTAAGGCACACAGGCGGTTTTAAAATACATCCATGTAGAACAGATAGGCTAGCACTTTAAAGTGACAGCACTTAGCAAGATGGGCTGTGGATGTTCCTCCCTGAGAGTTTTTAACAAAGCATGGTGTTATGTCCTGAAAGATTCCCAGAGTCATAAGCTGAAAAGCTTATAGGGCCAGACAGGTAGCAGGTGGCTATGAAGTGATAGGGAAGGGCGGGGCCTGTAAGGGACTACAGACACACACACGGTATGAAGGCATTCAGCATTTTTACAATGTGTGGGCAGACTCTCCTAGTTTACGTATACCTTATTCACTCATCAAGTACTGACTGTCCACTGGCTATCTGAAATCCAGGATTTGGCCTTTCTTGAGGTTTTTTTCCCATCCTAATGCTCTGAAGAATGTTTTATGGTAAAATGGATGAATACATGACAACCGATACAAAACTTAAGACACAAAAAGAGAGAAAAGAACCCAGGTAAAAGATAGAGGGGAAAAAAACACAAAGAACTCAAAAAGCAAATAAATTCTTTAAAAATAAAGAGAGTTAAATTCGCATTAAGTATAACAATATACAGTCTACAAATTCTCAGAAACACAGCTAAAAAGTGCAAGTGTCAGGAACTATGGTAATTTGAAAATAACAATCTAAATTTTTATTAGACATTTGACCAAGACGATGCTATAAGATATGAAATGTCAGGTTATGTAGAGTTTATTTACATGCGTTTTGCTATACATTTGGGCTTCTATCTAAAATTTTACAAAAGGAACCCTTCATTAAAATGAATTCAAATTTTACAACTACTTGGAACAAAGAAAACTGGCCGAGGTGAACAAGTCTCTCTTCTTCAGTCGACTGGATAGCAGGCTTACTGAGTGGCAGATAGAATCTTCATTACCCCCTTGTGTCTGGTGAGGAAGCCAGCAACTGGGAGAAGGTAACCGAATTGTGAGGAGGAATGGTCTATGGGCAGGGTACTAAGATCTAGAGCCCTTCTTGCCTTGAAAGGAAATGAGGTAAATAAGTATGAAATATATGTTAAAATTAGAAAATGATAGTGGGTAATCAAGACAAAATTATTTCAAACAACTCCTTAATTTGAATAATATGAAGCATGTAGTTCTATACTCTTTTTTAAAGTAAAATTTTAAAGTAAAATTTCATTTATTCAAGTTCAAGATAGATTGCTTTGTGCTTTGTTAAATCCCGGCAAAAACTAAGGGCTCGTAATATATATCACTGGTGTAAATAACCCTCCACCAAGCACATTCAGCCCAGGAGATTAAGGACCTAAGCGTACTCTTCGTAAACAGGTGACTGTTGGTTATCCTGTACAGGCATTGTCAGAATATTCCGTGGACTTTAAAACAGTCCCACTGCCTTTCTTGTACAGTATTGCTGTAATTCACACTTTTGGCCAATTTTGGTTGGTCCTCACTCCAGTTAGGTCAAATCACTGGCATTTTTTATTGACTTTTAAGGAATCACCCTACTAACAGTCTGGAAATAACTGCTCTTCCTTCTGAACTGGTCCTTCTATTCTTACAAATTCTTTGTTTTCTTAATGCCTCACTGTAACTGGAAACTCAGGATAGAGCTCACCACACAGCCAGCCAGGCCTATCCAAAGAGTCTTCTGCTCCAAGTGCTGGGAAGCCCCTTTAGGAAACCTCTCACCCACAGACCTGGGCACAGCAGACTTGGTGTTAACCAAGGTGGTGCTTTACCAGTGATATTACTTAAAAAGCTTTGACCATGTAGGTGACAGTGGTTGATTTCTAGCAACTGTTTTAGATATTTCTTACTTAACTCTATTTCTTAAAGTGGTGAGAATGTAAATTCTCTAATTGGTGAGAACTGTTTCAACGGCAGCTTAAAACTAATTACTTTGAAAACTAATTTTTTACATACCTTAGCTTAAACTGGATCCCTCTGAAGATCTATCTATCTCAAGGGCAGCATTTTCTTCCTAGGCATGAAAGGGTTTAAAATATGTAAGGTTTTAAATTCTCTTTCTAGTTAATCAGTCTCAACCAAGGATTCTCAACCTTTCTCAAGTGATGAGCCATTACATTAAAAGACCATCCAAGTGCAGGCTCTCAGTTACAGATCAATTTCTTTCTATTTTTCAATTCATCTGCATAATTATAGTCTATGCTCAGAATTCTGAGGTAGGGAGGGGTAAGGGGCACCACAACCTGGAAATTAAAAAGGCAGTCATTCCAGACAGCCCACCCAGGCTGGTCCAGCCCCACCCCTACCCAAAGCAAAAAAGGCTCCCCGGCTGTTCAGCTGTTTCTTCCCTTCTGCCAAGGGTCAGCACGGTTCTAGAAGGGCAGGAGGCGAAGGAGCCTAGATGTTCAGTGTCAAGTGTTTGTCAAAGAAGTTGATTTCATTGCTCCTTCCCATTTACCTGCTTCTTCCCTCAATGTTACTCATTCGTAGAGAGCACAGTGCCCTCTGGTTCTCTTTTCCTGGTAGTTACGCTGATTTACTCAAGGGTTAACCAGGAATTCAGGGATTTTTAAGCTCTAAATAGGCTGATACCTCTAAATAGGCTGAGAATTCCTGGTACAGCCAAAATCTATGTAGTTTTAAAACCTTTTAAATTTAGTATTTTAGCCAGAAGGATAAAGGATGTAATTTCATTCGAAAATATTTTCTAATGGTTAGTATTTATAAGAAAAAAAATCCTGATTACAAGTATATTTCACTCAGAACTATAACATGCAAGTGATCCAAAGAGTCCACAATTTAAGACGAAGAATTTTAGCAAGTAAGTTTCTAAAATTATTTGGCTAGGCAATTAAAATTATTCTGATTGCTATAGAAAACTCAAATAAATAAAAATAAAAGACAAAAACAAGTTTTCCTGTTAATATTGAAAATGTTGGTTATTATGAATTTTACATTTCTCTAAATTTGACAGCTGATCCTTAAATGCTCAGCATCCTGAAAGTTATATCAGTTGAGAGAGAGCAACAGCTTGTTTTCTAGTCTCTCCTACTGAAAGGCTGTCCTCGTAGGTACCACTCCATACGTCCACGGTGAATGGATCTGGCTTACGTTATGGTACATGAACAGAACTATCGGCAGCTTAAAGTAAAGGCAAAACGGTTTATAAAACATGGCAAGACTGAGGCAGAAGCTAAGGGACTAGCAAATTTAGAGCACCAATTCTCTTTTCCGTCATTTGTCACCCAGCTTAAAGCAGAGTTTTGCATATGTGAGAGTTAGGCTGAGCTATGGATTATAAATAGATACAGATACACATGCACATAGACACACAGATTCAAAGGGATGATGGTGTGACTCGATAACCCATCTGGTTTGTCAATTTCTAAAACACTATGAAAAAGCAAACTTTTCCAGAATGTTCATACAACAATTAAATTGATACCCTCCCAGGATCTGGAAAGCCTACTTCTTGTAGTTACAGAAATGCACGGTACAGAGCTGTGCCGTGGGCCCTAATGCTTCACAAAGGCACCATTCAGGCACTGAGCCACGCTGTCTCGGAAAGACTAGAGAGAGCAGCTCAGAACACTCCTGCAGCTGCACGACCGCTACATGCACCTGAACGTCTTTAATGAACTTCAGACCTCTGACAAAACAAACACACAAATTACTTTTTTATTTTTAATTGAATTGTGAATCATCGCCACTATCGTGAATAAAAATTCATGACTCAGAATAGCATGCAACTTTTTTTATTGTTTTCTAAATCTATCTGTACACTTAATACTCTGGTATTAACTTTACAAACAGAATAAAGAATACACTACAGTGATATTAAGCTGCATCTACTCACCTGAAAAGGAACAAAGTATCGCCCCTGAAATAATTACTAATTACACAGTACTGCAGACTAATAAACACCGTAAGTACTAAAATGTTAACATTTCAACGTACAATGTCAACAACATCCTGCCTTCTTTTTCAATTGGTTAAAACATTTGTTAAGGTCATGCAAAATAAACACTTTATGAAAATGTTAGATTACACTCAAACATCAAGGCAATGAAACCCAAAAGAGCAACTTTTTAATGCAACGACTGGTCAAGTAGATAAACTATTCAGCATATTAAAAATCCAGTAAGTGAAAAACATCAAAAATGTAAACACTAAATTTAGGTAACTGCTCCTCTATGATCTCACCACCTACAATCTTATCTGTGACTGAAGATATACTACCAAAATTGTTCTACATAAGTAAGCTATGTTAAAATGACCAAAAAAGTGTCAATACATGATGCCAGGGTAAATTTCTAGTCCACACAATATTTAAATGTGATCATTCTCTTAACTCTGCTAACAGTAAATGAAAAGTCACACCCAGATTTATCTTCTTTTTACTCTTGCTTTGTTACATGTTTTTAAACTTTTGTCTACAAGTATTTCTTAGGAACCTCCCCCAGAATTAACATGCTGATTTAGGAACTGGTGAAGCAGATAAACCTTGCCCTGGTATAGAAGGCAGTGATTTCGGTTTCCCTAACTAAATATTTCCTTGTCACTTGTCAACTGTCACTGACCCTTCTGCTATAGTTATGTCCTCAGTCTCCCATTCCATGAAGATTTTTAGTGCCTATTATTATCCATGTCTCCCTGATTCTCCCAGAGAAGAATTCATTTTTTTCCTCTCATCGCTCGGCTCACTAAGGAAAGCTGAGCACACGATCTAAAGGAGCTACAGAGTAGACCAGGGCGGGTTCTCGGGCAGGTGGATGGTGCTTGAAGCCAGGTCTGGGATCTGGAGAGAAGAGCATCCAGGTCATAGGAAGGTGATCAGCCCCTCTCCATGGGCCACTCTCCTAGCAGCTCACAATGACCCAGTTACTGGGGCTCTACTTTGGGCACTGTGGACTCACATTCTTACCAATTTTTAAAGCCCTCTTTATATTTTCTACTTAAAATTTAAAAACTTTGATAAGCAATTTGTCTATTATACAGAACACCGGATTGCAACTTACAGAGCATTAACCTTTAGTCTCTAGGCTATTCCATAAGCTGTAAGTTCTTATGTTTCACCCCTTAAGAGCAAAATGTGCTTCTGGTTCATTTAACATCATGTCTTCCCTCAAATATTTAATGAATGAATGTTCTACGAAAGGGGTCTCTAGCTTTGAATTTCTGTTGGCGAATTAAGCCCTTTATATTTAATAAACTATTTCTGACCTATCTTTATACTCAGATCTTGTCTTGCAGTTATATGCCAACGAAAGGTGCAATAACAATATCGGGTTTTTAAGCTGCTAAGTACAAAGACAACGGGGGCTGACAGATGGACCAGGCTATCTTATACTTCCCTCTGTTGTACAGTGTATGTCTCTTTTACCAAAGACCTTCTCATCCGTTAATTGTGAGTGAAATGTACAGGTGGTGTGCGTGGATGGATTCACCATAAAACTCAGGTCAGTCTTGTCACAGGGATTACAGTAACACTATTCTGCTTTTGCTTGTTTTTCTTAAAGTTGCTTGTTTTTCTTAAAGAATGCTTTCTCTTTCTTCTCCAAAGCCTGTACTATCAGAAGAGGCTACTGCGTGCAGCTCTGAAGAATCTTTCGAGAGCCTCATATAACTTGAACGCTGGCTTCTCTTATGCGTCATGCTTTTTAGATTTTCATTCTGAATGGCAGTTGAGTGGGAACTGGAACCAGACCTCAAGATGACTTGGGGCGTCTCCCTAAGCCCCTCCATTTCATCAGAATTCTGGTTGGCTCTATTGGCTGGAGCACTGTTGTTGTTCAGAGTCACAGTGCTGGGTGTGCGATTCAGATTGTAGGCTTTGTGGCACGCTGGCCAGTTTTCTTCAGGGCTGCTGGCTATCAAGCTGCATTCAGAAGGGCTTTTCTTGTCTTCTGAACAAATGGACATCCGAGCTACAAGTGGGTCTTGCAGGCCACTCAAGCTATGTGGTGTTCCCCGTTCCCCACTGTGGCCGTCATCTTCGAGCTCTATGAGGTTTGCCTTTTCAAGCTGGGAGCCATCAGCCGCTTCATTGTGAAGGGAGTGGCTGGGAGAGCTCTCACTGGATCTCACTCCCGAATCAGATGAGTCCTTTTTGTCAAGGAGGGCGTCTGATAGATACTCTTTTGCCTTAATGAAGGTTCTAATAGGCTCCGCACTGTGTTCTGGAGACTTCAACACTCTCTCTACTTTCCCTTCAGCTTTTTTGTCTCTGTCATCTTTGAGCAGTGGAGTATTGTCTGATTCTTCTGTCCCAGACTCATCTTCATCACTTGGAAGTTTCTGATAGCGCAGCCCACCTCCCTTCAGCTTCAAATCTGTCTGGAAGAGACTTGACCTTTCTGAGGACTTCTTGCTTGGGAGAAGCTTGCTGCCTGACTGATCAGATTTTTCATCCTCTTCAGTGATAGGATCCAGGGGTGAGGCATCGTTAGTGGAAACTCCTGATGAGGAATAATCTATAACATCTCCCCTCTTCATTAAAAATGACTTCCTTCCATCATCTGGCTTTGGTTCACTATCCCTCCCTTTCTCTGGTTCTAGATTAGAGTGAATGGAGCCCCCGGATGAACTCTGACCCATATAATATGTGCTGTGTGGAGAAGACCTGCCACTCATTGTTGTGGAACCCGTGCCCCCTTCTAACTGAGACATCTGGGCAATATATTCTCTATAGGCATCTCTATACTCAGCCTGCACCTTATCAGTAAGCTTTGAAATTTCAATACTGGAATCCTGGGAAGTGAGACTCGATAGACTTGGGGTTCTGCGAGTTTGTGACTGTGAAGACAAAAAAATAATAATAATTTAAGAATTCAAATAAACCCAAAAAAAGGCACAATAAACATCAGCTTAGGAAATTATATATATATATAAATACATAAATATATATATATATATATATATATATATATATGGACAATAAGAATTTTTAAAGTCCTTAAAATACCGAATTCTTTTAGAAGAATTCTGCATAACACAGTTTAACAAAAGCTGTGAACTTATGAATAATTTTACTGTTATTAGAAAGCTTTATACAAATTTTAATAAAATTAGTTTATTGTTAATATTTAAAAGTATAATTTAAGGTTATATTAACAAATAACCTTAGCACTTGTTTTTATCATTTCAAACTTTTAAATTTATTTACGGCAAAAGTCACCTTCATGGATAAAATATAAAAGTTCCCCTTAGAAAAGAGAAAGAAGATTAGAGTTAAGATATATCTCAAAAACAAAATACTCAAGTCTTTAAATGTATGTTAAACAGAGCCTTTCTCAACTTGCACGACATGAAGTTTCTGTCAAATTCCAATTCAGTGAAAAAAAAAATGTACTCAAAATGCAAAAAAAAAAGAGAAAAAAACAGATTTTAAAAGGAAAAGTATGAAGTGCAATGGAAAAGATTAAAAGATAAATACAGGATCCAAATGAACAAAAATGGAAGCCTTGAGGTCAACATTCAGGTCCAAGTAAACAGAAATAAAATATTTTTAAAAGTCTGATTTCCAATGTGAAGTTTTAGGACGAGAATTCCTTCAGACCCCAGAAAAGGTTAATAACATGAGGAATAAAAAGTAAAGATTAGGAAAAAGAGGAAGGAAATGGAAGAAAAAGAATCAAGGAAGTTTAAGAAAGGGCAAGAGCAAAGGTTGAAACGAAGCAGAAATAAGGCAGAGTCTTCCTGCCACCGGGAGAAAATGACCCAGCCCCCTGAGAAGGTTCCCTGAGACCCAGTTCGGGACAGTGCCGCCCTCACTCTCAAATGCAGTATGTGGACCCCTTCTCAGGGCATCCACGAGGTCTAAACTATTTTCCTAGGAATATGAAGATGACCTTTGCCTTTCCACTCTCATTCTCACAATAGTGTACAGTGGAGTCTCCAGAGGTTGGTTCACGTGTGACCTCCCAGGAGATTCAACGCAGAAGCAGATATAGGAATCTAGCTGTCTTCTACAAAGGCAGGCATTAAAGAGATTTGTAACACAGTATCATTTTCAGTAAATATGTTTTGTTTTGGAAAATAGTCATTTTTCATAAAACTGTTATTTATGTTAACATATAATTGGTTTAAGTTTCTCAGTTTTTATTTCTAATATAGTAAATACTGACAGATAAAACTTACATAAACGAAGGCTCTTTGGGGGTCTTCAATAATTTTTAAGAGTGTAAAAGGATTCTGAGATTTAAAAAGAGTTTGAGAACGGCTGCATTGATAGGAAGGCCGTGAGACTTTCCAGGTCACGGTGGTAAATACCAAGCATGGAAAAGCAGAGGATGAGGACTTCTCAAGAAATGTTAAAAGGAGTTCCAGGGAAAAGAAAGGAATTACTGTTGTTGAAACAGGGAGGAAAAAGGGTCAAGTGCGGACTTATCATAAAATAAGGAAATTTTTATCTTAGTTAACACCCAATAAAATGGCTTCTCAACTTAAAGAAATAAGATTGATAGTACGTAGAAAAAGATAATAACAACCAAAAAATATTTTTACTACCAAATCAAACACAACACCCTTAAAAATGGTAGACCTAACAGGTACTCCTTTCTCTAAATACGGCTCCCTTTCAGTAGAGAGTTCTTGGTGGCTACTTACTACTTTTCCTCCCTTGCCTGTCTTCTCTCTGCTCTGTGCCCTGCTCTAGGTCTTTTCCTAGTTTATTTTTCTTCTCGTCCAGCCCTTATTCCTTCTCACGTTCTCTCACTTTTGTTTTTATTCCTGATCCTCGCCTCTCCTCCCTCTTCTAAGAACATCCAAAGAAAGAACTCAGCCGCATCTAACACCAGGTAATAAAAAGAAAACGAATATCCACGAACAGTGTGCAACATACGTACTGAAAAACCAGGTTATGGTGCTCAAAGGGATAACATGGCAGGTTATCCAATAAAGATGTGTTTTAGCCAATGATTACTGAATTTAACAAGGAAACAGCAAGTGAAAGATGAACTCAGCTAACCGCCTAAGTAGGCCAGTTCCTGTTCACCCTCGATGCCATGACTCTATTTTATTATGTTCTCAATTCTTATCAATTTCTGAAATCATGTTATTTTCTTTTTGTTCTACTGACTGTCCTCTCCAGAAAAACACAGCTCCTGGAGAGTAGGGACTCCTCCCTCCATCGTCTTCAGTCAGGGACTCATCAAAGATTTTCTGAATGACTATATAAATGCACCGACATAATCTCGGAGAATTAACCACCACCCTCTTCTTCAGTAATATGAAAAATGGCATTTAATAAATACCTGCCAACTTAGGTTACTGTGACGTGGAGCCCCTTCATCCAGGCCGAGTGTGTTCAGCTCTTCAAAGCTGAAGTTCAGTGTGTAGGGAGTCTGACTGGAGAGCTCGGTGTGAGGCAACTCGTGTGACGAGCGGTGCGCAGATTCACCGCGAGGAACTGAGCTGCTGTTTTCACTCAGTAAACGTGGGTCCTCAGGGACCACCTGGTTTTCTGCATTTCTCATTTCTAGTACCTTAAGAGAGAGAGAGAAAAAAAAAAAAGTCATCAGTATCCGCACTGACACATCACATTTTAGAAGCTTTAGAAATTATCTTAAAAATTAAACATAAAGTTACTCTAATGGAAATGAGAATGCATACTTTCTGTAAGTGAATTTCAAATACATTTGTTCTTATCTGCTTATCTTTCTATATTAATAATACAACTGACCCTTGAACAACACAGGTTTGAACTGTGCAGGTTTGCTTACACGCAGATATTTTTCACTAGTGAAGACGGCAGTACTTTCTACATGGTCCAGGGTAGGTTGAATCCGCAGATGCGGAGGAAACTTGGATACGGAGGGCTGACTCTGTTGTCAGTGGATTAATCTCCGAGTTGTTCAAGGATCATCTGTACTAAAAGAAGTACAGTCGGCCCTCAGAATCTAGTGGTTTTGCACCTGCAGATTCAACCAATCACAGATTGAAAATATTCGGAAAACAATTCCAGAAAGTTCCAAAAATCAACACATATTTGCCACACACTGGCAACTATTTACACAGCATTTACACTGTATGAGGCATCATAAGTAATCCAGAGGTGATTTAAAGTATACAGGAGAATGTGTGTAGTATGCAAATGTTACTACGCCATTTTATACACGGGACTTAAGCAGCTGAAGATTTTGGTATCCACCGGAGTCCTGGAACCACCCACCCACAGATACTGACAGATAACTGTAATGACAACAACCATCACATATATACTATACTCTCATTTGACCACTGTGTTACTACTTTAATTTAAAATTTAACTTAAGAACAAAACAAAATGCAACTGGAGTGTGTCAAAGAGAACCACAGCTGGACAGTAGCTAAAGCAGTAAAAACAGATTTTAACCAGGAACTATCGCAATGGGGAAAAACGGACCTCAGGATAGAACTGGGCTCGATTCCAAAAGCAGCGCGGACACGTGGGCATTTACAGCCCAGGAACGAGGCGGGGGTGAGTGCATGGAAAGTTGCTAAGAGGAAGCATCAGGGGTAAGGGGGGGTGGGATTGTGGTTGAACTGACCTGACAGGATACCTTCTGGAAGCAGTCCTGGGGTCTAGGACCTCACGGGGAGCAGAGGAGGGGTGCGGGATGAGGAATGTAATCGGATAGCGATAGCGAGGGTGATCAGACACTGAGGGTGAGGTTCTTTCTCAACTGACTTAACAGGATGCTTCCTACAACGGGGCAATGCAGGCGCAACGAGGACAGACACCAAGGTCGAGGCCTAGAGGCTTCGGGAAGCCTGACTGAGTGAGGTCAAGGAGAGTGTCCTGGTCAATGAAAGCATGGAGAATTGGCAGGTGGCTTCTCTCCCAGATTTCCAAGTGAAATGCCCAAAAGGCAAATGTTGCTAAGTGCTGCTGTGTATATTCTACATAACAGGATATACAAGAGTTGTACACATAAGTGTAAAATGTAATTTTTACATGTTTTTTTAAAAATATAGGAAAATATCAATTTAGACCAGTACTTACTGGCACTTGTTTTATAAAATGTTGTAAATAATTCTACAAATATTAAAAATATCTTACTGTGCTCCTAAAAAGATGCCAGTCTCCAAAATTCATATTCATTTCCTTCTTCAGTTCATCAATGTTACACTGAGCTAACACACGGCCATTTATGTTTGCCTGAATAAAAACAAACACAAAGATAAACAAAATGTGAGAGACTCTGAACTTCTAGTGATTAAAAAGTACATTTATATTAGAGACTAGAAAATACTGACCTAAAGAAGGTTATCACCCCATGTAATAATAAACAAGTAGAATCTGAATAACATAAGCCACTCCATACTCTTCCAAGTGTCTTAGGCGCTCAAGTAAAATAAATCATTCTTCAGGGACCAACCCAAGAGCTCACCCTCCAACTATTTCCAAAACTACCTATTCTGCCATAAGCAATAACAAAACTGTTAGCTTTTTCCCTCTAATCATAAAACATGAACACAAAGGCAAGCTGCTGGGAGGGGACAAAGACATCTGTCAGCATGTTGGTCATTGATGAACTTCTAAATGAAGTGAAGCGCTGACAAACTTGTTTATCAACTTTATGAGATAACTTCAGCCACCAAGAATGTCCACCAACAAATTTCCCAGTCTATATTAAATTCACAGAAAATGATCTTGTCACTATTGGGTCTCCGTAATTCTAGTCCCTTCCAAGTAAGAAATGATAGAATTTTCTTTATTAATAACAGGTAGCTTACTTATTTTACAAAATACAAAACCTGACTTTATTAACTGTGGTAAAATTATGGAATACCTGGGTTTAAAACCAAAAGAATGCTCAGTTTCCAAGTTAATTCTGAAGAAAAGAATGTACAGAGCAAGCCTACGGCAGAGGTCCTGCTGTAGAAATGCAAGGAGCTTAGCAGCACTTAAGAAACCAGTTGCTACGATGGGCTTCAAACAGCCAAGGCCTGAGAGTAAAGAGCTGAGTGGGCAGAGAACTGCTGTCCTGAGGGAAACAAAATCCCCACAAAGGGCTCACGTGGAGACCTCCCTCTTCCCTGACGCTCACCAAGCTGCCGTGAGGAGAGTCAGGTTTGTACCTTGGAAAGGCAGTGCTTGACACTTTCACAAATGGGGATGAACACTAAATAGATCTATGAGAAAACTAACGTTATCTGAACCTTTGTGACCAAACATAGTTTAGGATTAGTGAAATGGTGTATGTGCTCATAACTCTTTTAAAACCTTTTTAGATGCCAGTCTTTAAAGTATGTAAATATTACAGGCTTGTTGTTCATGTTCTCCTTCACTGTATCTCTGATAGAAAAAGTATAACTTAGTGGAAGTATCTATTAAAACAGGGACTGGGTTATTAGCCTTGTAGATGGGAAGCCTCCTCAAAATACCAGGCTCGTGGTAGTTACCGGAATTGCAAGAAAAGATCTCGGAAGAAATAAACTTCCTCAAATGCATTTAGCCTTGCAAACCCAAACCTCTGAGGTATTTTCAAACGGGACATGATCAGAAGTCCTCTAAGACATGAAAGTGAGAATCTGAGGAAAATGAAGTAAGTATGGTTTACTTGGATAATTATTAAGTCACAAATAAATATTATAATTAAAGAAAATGTAACATAAAAGAAAAGGCCTTCAAATGTTCTATGTTGCATATTGGAAATATAAGTTATTGTTAATCTTAATGTGAAATCCTTTAGAACTTTGTACTTCTCATCAAAGCATTTTTGACTTATACTAGATTTCTTTTTTTTTGGCCATACCGCGTGGCTTGTGCGACATTAGTCCCCTGACCAGGGATGGAACCCAGGCAGTGAAAGCACCACGGCCTAACCACTGGACCACCAGGGAACTCCCCCTTATATTAGATCATTTTACAGGAATGTTGTAATACAACACTTTATTTTCTTTTATCCATTTCTAAACTAAGGGATAAAGGGGCAATTTTAGGATACAAATAGTAAGAAACCTGTTTCCACCTAGAGCTTTCCCATTTCAACAGAGAACTCGTCTTTGAGAAGCTAAATACAAAGTGCTCGCCATGCACAGAGCCCGCCACTGGCACCCTCAGCCCTGTCTCGAGTCAGCGGGGAAACATGCTGGTCACCTTCTTGATGGTCGCACAATACTGAGGCAGCATGCTCTGGTCCAGCCCTTCTATCTGTTTCAGTTTCTCACAAACCGCATCCACATTCATTGAATTCAGTGATATTGTTCCTGAGGCTGGGCCTGATCCCTAGATAAGTCGTGGAAAAATACATGCATGAATAGCATTTAATGTCAGATATACGCAGTCATGTGACAGAGAAACTTGTGAAGTTACACTGTAAGTACTCTGATTAACAATACATTTTCAAACCAAAGTAAAGACAGCGAACGTGTGCAGTATGGGGAAATGCCATTAGGGAACAGATTTAGCTACTGTTATACCTTAAGAAGTATCTTTTATTATAGCAGATACAGCCTGATCAAAACCACTCTTCTAAAAAGACAGAACATTCCACGAGCCAAGCCGAGGCCAACTGCAAGAGAGCCTAACTTCAAACCTCAAGAGAGAAGGGTGTAGCCCTTAATAACAGAAGGACAGGGGGTTAAAAAAAGGAATGGGGGGAATTACTGATGCCTATATTACAAAATACAAAAAGTCAATCTATGAAATAATTTTAAAAGTGCCTATATTTTTTGAATGTCTTTACAGACTACCTTAACAGTCTACGACTATTAACTATCTGAAGTTTTCAGATCGTGACCATATTTTATACCCAAGGGATCTAAAACTTCCCCTTAAGAATCTATACAATAATCATGTAAATATGAAACAACAGTATTACTTCTTAACACATGTGGAAGTAAATATGATCCATTAAAATTTGGTCTCATTTAAAAGAAAAGTCAAAATAATAAATCTAGTATTTACTTAGAAGAAAAACATTTTCTGAATATGGTGACACACTAAAGAAGTATTTGCCTGTGGCCAACTGTATATGAAGCTCCTCAATTACAGATGTGGACACTGGCTTACAGAGAGGTAAGTTCTGGCTTCAAAGTCACAGAATAAATAGCTAGTTAGTGGTAGATTTGGATGGGAACCCTAACTTATCAGGTCTTATAACTTCCTATTTTCTTTGTTGCAACTGTCTATTTTTAAAGAGTTTACAGAAACTATAACCAAAATAAAGAGAAGACAAACCAACTAGTATAGAGGAAAATGCTCCAAATGACCTGTCTTGTTTACCAGTCAATCTAGCCTTAAAATAAATACAATTTATCCTATCCTCAAGTATGTGGACATTTATATTTTCTACTGCCTCTTTTACCATTACCAAGGTAGACTATGACAGCCCAAACTGCCTGTTAGCTACTTGTTAAACATGATTTGTAACATGAAAGCGTAACATAATACTCTATTATGAACTGATAAATAAATATACACACATAGTATATAAACAAAATATGCCTATATTACATATAAATATAAATACAGCTAGGAGATGAGACCATGTTGGACAGTGAGGCAGTAATTTTATGAGAGGGAGTCTTAGCAAGTTTACAAGTGTAAGACAGTCCCATAAAAATTTGTAAATTAATGCCTTGGAATATACTGCACAAAACACATTTATTTATAGTTTGTTTTCAATTAAATATAAATTTAAAATATGTCATATATTATACGGTCTGAGGTTCAATTACTTCAAAAATACTAACAGCAAAACACTAGTATTTCCAGAATTTAGTTTTCATATTTATATACAAAGTTCTATTTTCTGCCTGGATGAGTATAGCCAATATTCAAAGTGTTCATTATCCAGTATCTACTATGGAAACTTAAACTGCTTTCTATGAATTTTTAATAACCATATTTGTTTTGTTTTTCTTTTAAACAGGTTTATTTGAGATATAATTCACATACAATTCTCCCATTAAAAGTGTACAATTCAATGACTTTTAGTATATTCACATAGCTGTGAAACCATCACCACAATCAATGTTAGGACATTTTCGTATCCCTAAAAAGGAATCCTGTGCCATCAGCAGTCATTCTTTATCCCTTCCAACACCTAGTCCCAATCCCCTAGCAACCAGTAATCTACTGTCTCTGTGGATTTGCCTATTTTGGACATTTCATATAAATGGAACCACACAATATGTGACCTTTTATAGCTAGCTTCTTTCACTTAGTATGTTTTCAAGGCTCATCCATGTTATAGCATGGATCAGTACTTCATTCTTTTTTATTCCTGAACAATATTTATCTTTTAAATGATCTTTAATACTGTCTTTCAAATGTTTTTATTCCTCAACCTAGCTCTTCTTTCTGGGTACATTTACACTTGTTTACATTTTCTTGATTAGAAAAATCACAAGCAAACAGTTTGATCACCAAAATAAATAATGATCATCTGGATTATAATTCATAGAATAAAATATCCATGAATCCATACTGATATAAATAAAAAGTTGAATAAGTAAATAAATCAGGAAGAAGAGACAGCTTTTACTTATAGAATTCCAATTGATTAATGCAGAAGAAAGGAACAGAAAATTACCATCAGGAAAACACCACAAGAGTGGCTGTACACAAGATGCACTGGTGGACATTAAAGTTAATGGGCAAAAGTATAAAGAGAAACAGGATATTTGAGAGTTTTAGAGTATCTCCCCCTAAATATTTACTCACTACAAAGGGAAAAATAAAACTTCACAGTGTTGAAATCTGGCAGATGCCACCTTAACCACATGACTGAGGTTATTAGCATGACCAGTGGGAAGATTTAGGCCCTCACAGATGCTCAAATATGATGCACTGAGAAGGACACGGCATCACTTCTGTGGGTTTCTTGCCAAAGATATATAATCTTCTAATCATTAGGAAACAGCAAACAAACCCAAATAGAAGGACGGTCTACAAAATATCTATGATCAGTTCTCTTCAGAAGTTTTAAGGTCATAAGAGACAAGGAAAGACTGAGGAATTGTCACAGATTAGGGAACTCTAAGGAGAAATAACAAAATACAACTGGATTGAATCCTGGACCAGAAAAATGACATTAGTGGAAAAACTGGTCAGATTCAAATAAAGTCTGTATTAAGAATATTGTACAAATTTTCACTTCTGCTCTTGAGAAATATACTACAGTTAGGAAAGATGCTAACATTAAGGGAATGTTATTTTTGTACCTTTGAAGTCTAAAATTATTTTAAAGTAAAAGAAAAAAATTTTAATCACAAAAAAAACTCTATTTCTGATTGTGCTAAAAAAGGTAAGTATAACAGACATGGAACAGATTAACTCTGTCTGCATGGCGGGGGGGAATGTAAAATGTTACAGAGTATGTTAAAGGGATCTGAGAATTCAGCAATGGAGACACATTAATAAAGATACTACTCTTTTCCTTTAAAACAAAAAACTCCACATTATCTTACTTTCATGATCCTTCAAAACTTTTACATTTTATCACTTGAAAACATATTTTGTCCCTCATTGGGAATTATGTAGAAAATATATATTATCTCTGAATGGCTTTGAGAAGCTATAAGAAAAGACACAATGGATATCCCTGTAATTCCATCAAAGCTATAGTCTGACTATTCATTATTTGTGAGTTGGATTTTCTCAAGAAAAGGGGTAAATTATCAATAAATTAAAATACATTACAATATGCTTCTTTGAATAAGAGAGAAATAGTGATTACTTGGCAGGTCTCCTCTAAAATAATCATATATAATAAAATTATTTTGAAGCCAAATGCATCTTAGTCGCCAAAATAATGACCTTTAGATGGAACTCTCATAAAAAGGAGAAGGAGTATAAAAGTGATAAGGAAAAAGCATATTCAATAACTCAATATGTAAATTCTTAATAGGAAACTGATTACATCACTTTGGCAATACAAAGAATGGTAATACTTTAAAGTTTATCATGCATTCTTACTTGAAATTTACTTGTTACAAGTCAAGAAAAGATCACTTCAGTATACATCACAATTTATTTAAAAATTTTTTTTCTAATACAGAAGATTGAATGCAGAAGATGTTAGTTTGTTTAAACTGTTAAATATAAACTTCAAAATACATACAAATCAGAATTCCTCCGGGTCAAAGTAAAGCTAACAACAAGACAGATTTAAATTACTTTGATATAACTATATGATTTTATATTATAAGTAGATTAAAGCTACATTCTGAAACATTATCATCTTTGGTAAATTTATTAAACAAGCTTAGAATTGATTAGCCAGAAATGAGAGCCATGCAAAGGCTGAAAGCAGCTATTAAAATAAACCCAAGGCACCGAAATGAGCACAGATTTATAAACAGCCCAGCATGAAGCTGCCAATGATTGCTTCTAATAGTCTAAAACAAGGAAAGTGAGTAAGATTTCACTGAAAGTTTCTGTACCTGTCTCTGTTTGTTAAACCCAGAGTCACACGGCTTTAAGGAAGGAATAAAACAGAATGAAGGACACGAGCTTAAAGGAAAACATCAAATACACATATGTAATAAAAACAGGCAGCACTTTTATCACTCCTCTTACTTTCCCATGACTTCGAACACACCACCTCTACAGCAACACAAAGCAAGGAACACACACACACACACAGTAGTTTCATGTCATTAACGTGTGCTTGGTAATTTTAAAATTGTACTCTCAAATTTTATATTCTTTCTCTTAAAAGAATAAATCATGGGCCATACATTCAACAAGAAAACCAGGTAATAAAATTTGCTACAAAAAGTCAATATTCCTACTATGTACAAGTTTAAAATTAATTTTTAAATATTCTGATAAAAAACTGCCACTATTAATTGCAGGCCAATTTAATAACAAGGTTTAAATACTTGGAATTCACATGCTCACTTCATAAAATAAAATATTATCTAGCCACACTATAGTTAACATTCAGAGATATACTTTTCAAATTTGGGTTTTGTTTCACTGGGCATGTGGCATGTAATAGATGCACTAAAATACCATTTGAAAAGAAAGGCCCTAAGAGCCTTTCAGCTCAAGAAATCATAAATATAACAGTGAAAAATATTTGCATACTGTGAGTAACGTAACTATTTTACTGATGTAGTTCTTTGAAACTCTAATTCAAAGCAGACACACTGCTACTAATTATTCTTCTGTACAAATTAGGTTGGTGGTAAACATTCTTAAAACAGTTAAAATAATCTATAGATAACTGACAATACTGAGTCAAAGTTAATTTACAGTGTTTTTCTTTTACTATGTCATTATCTGGAGTACCTTATGGGAACCTTGTTTTCTAGTTTACATATCAACGTTATTATAAGTAGGTTTTTTAGAAAGTTACTACGTATATCTGTGGAGACTTGAACTACATGAGAAATTCTGGGTTGGCCAAAAAGTTCATAACATCTTATGGAAAAACCCGAACGAACATTTTGGCCAACCCAGTAATAATTAGGTCAAAGTTGACAGATGAGGTTTAACACCGCATGTAAAGGGCAATCTTTAAAAAAACACAAGTTCAGGACACGATTTTGTTACTTTTTAACTTTTAACTGTACTCTAGGATTTCAATGATATCCTTACTGCAGTATCCTACTTCTTCGATAATATCTCAATCAATTTAGTTGCAGTTTATTGTTTAGGAAAAAAAGCTTTCTTGAGCTGAAGTCTGGCACAAAGACTTTGAAGCTGGAAGTGAATATAATTTTTCACTACATTACTAGAGAAGACATATGTTAAAACTTTTCCAAATTGAAACAGATCAATAAAAAAGTGCACTCCTAAAATGCTTTAGAAAGTGTGAGTGAACCTCCTGAGAAAAGGTGCTGACCGCTGGCAAAGAGCACCCGCCCTAGGCCTGCATCTAAATGAACCTGAAATGCGCCCTGCCTTACCCACGGCAGCTTTAGCTTTCTCATCCCAGTCTGCTCCTGCGCGATGAGAGACAGCTTGATTTGGACATGTATTTGTTTAACAGGTTATGAGTTCTAAACCAGTGGTGGAAATAAAAATGATCTACAGTTGAGTCCCATCTTTTTTTCCCTTTTAACTTGGTCACTCCACCAACTGGATCCGGTTCAATGAAAACCAAGACCTTCATTTTTAAGACTTTTATTAATTCAGTAAATTTCATCAATCTCTAAAAGGAAAAGTAACAGCACACTGTAAGGCACGACACTGTTATTAACACTGCCTCTGCAACTCTGAAGTTCTCCTCAATTAAACGTTGCGCTAATTATTTTCATGCCTTTTCAGTGAGGTAGCTGATCTAAATGAAGCTATCTAAAGGTATCTAGTAACCCCTGCGGCATAGGAGGTGGAGAAAGAATGACTTGGTAGCAACACAGATCGTTCCCGCTTGGCAGCCTCAAGCCCATCCGCTCCAAGAAGGCAGGATTTCCATCAGTTTTGTTCACTGCCACATCCCACTGTAACAGTGAACCAGTGGATGATCAAACAGGCATCTGAAGAACTCAATGCTAAATAATTCAAGGAAGGATAAAAGGATAAAGAAATGCTCTATCACTCCTTCCTTCGAAAAAGTGCTTTTCAAGGAAACACAGTTACCACCATGAGCAACATACCCTAAATAAAAACAGACTGAACACAACACTCCTAAGAAGAACTCTTTGAAAGACCACAACAAAATGCCACTGAGGAGACCTGGCTCGAGACAGGCCCTCCTTGGTGGGTCCTTCCCTTCATGGTCACAGAATGATCTGAATGCCACTACTTCCTAGTGGGACCTGGACTGAAAGAAGGTAAAGGCACCAAGTAAAATTCTCCTGGGAAGCTTTCAAAACTGTAAAATATTTGGAGCATTCAGATAAGCTGGAAATCCTTCTAAATTCTAGGAAAACAAACTGATTCTAGGAAATCAAACCACCTTTTAGGCCAGAGAAGCATCAACAGATAAAAGGCTGAGTTAATCTAAACTGACTGGAGTGTTTATACACTACTCCCACCACTGAGAAGAGGTTATTTAACACAAAACGGTTTTAGTTTCTGAGTCTTTTTAAAGCTCCATGGAATTTGGTCTTTGGGACAGTAGTAATAATAATGATTATTAAGTACTTAAAGTATGTAAAGGCTGAGTAATCCCTAAAGCAGACCTGTGAGGTAGGTCTGCTTTTTCCAGATGAGGAAGTTGAGTATCAGAGAGGTTAAGTAATTTCTCCAAGGCAAAGAGCTAATCATCAGGGCCTATTTAACTTGAATGACCAAGTACCTGACCAAGTCATGCTTAGTATCAACAGGAGCAAAGAGGGCAGCATGGTGGTGAGGAACGGTCCATGGAAACAGCCATAGGGATTCCAGCTCTGCACCTGGCGCTCCCCTCCCGTGAGCCGCAGGGAAGTCTTCACCGTGGTACTGGACTAGACCATGGGTCCTAGCGTTCTCTGAGGATCCCCCAGAGGGAAGGCAAGTCCAAGGTGGGGGGCCAGAGTTCTTTTTTCACTGGTTTTGTAAACTAGAATTCTCATTAAGATTTCAGTTCTAAAAAAGGCTTTTCTGCTTTGAAAGTTTGAAAAACACTAGTCCTTTCTAGCTCTAATATCCTGGGGATCATATCCTGGGCCCAATGCTAATATATATTTTTTCAGTTTTACAAGATTTGGCATATATTTTCTCTATTATAAAATCACAGTGGAAAAAAGCCAGCACAGAGGCTTGTATCTTATGTCTTTGCCTTAGTAGGACCCTCGGACATCTCTGTAATTTATCTGTTAAGTCCTTGGCTGGTCTTCACAAGTCACAATCATTACAACGTTACTTAATGTGAGAAAACTCAACTATTTTCATAAGGCTCTGCTTTATGAAGGTTTATGAGAAATTCCTTGAGGTAAAAAAAGATGGGACCACCTATATTGAAAATACCACAGAGAGCTGGTTAACTCTCTATGATCTGGTTTTCTGGTGTTTTGTTTTTTTTTTTTTTTTTTTTTTTTACTCATTATTCTGTGTCCATAATGACAAGACAGTTTGTCCAAAAATGTTCACATAGCTCCTGACTTATCTATAAGCAGCTTTTGTCATCAAGTGTTGCATACAGGAGACAGATGAATGAGCAGAGATGAACTCACCTGCAGTCTTCGTATTTCAGAAATCATATCGTTTTCTACTACGGTACTGGAAAACTACAGGAGCCATGAAGGGCTAAAAAATTTTTTGTATTATATTAACTACTTCTTCGTTGGTTCAGCTATAAAAATCCCATACAATGTTCTCATGTATAGATACTTCTCCACATTTCCACCACTGTTTTTAACACAGCTTTGAACTAAGTGTCTACTTGAACTAGTCTACTTCTAAATAAACTTTACATGCTATTGTCATTGTTAATTTCTTAAAAGCAAAGAAGGCTTGGGAAGCAACTATTATTCACTAAACAGATTACAAAACTACCTTTTAATATTAAAAGAACAGCAAATAGTATGGTTATTTTACTAAACAAAGGCACTAATATATTCAGAGCATTTTTACTCTTCGTTATTGCGCTTGCAAACACTTCTTAAGAATTGCATTATTTCCCCTTCCCCAAAAACTCATTTTAAAATTTGCCTAATGCTCCTTCACTGGTCCCTGAAATTACTGACACCTTTTACTCACAAGTGTTTCTCCTTAAGCATGGGAACAGCTACTACTTCAGCATGTCTCTGTCATTAAGACCATCAAATTCTTCACAGGATCCAACTTTCATCAAAAGTTTGCAGAGGAATTTTAGCTCAGAGAATTGCATTGCATGCATGAAACTATGTATTAAAGGCTCTCTGACTAAACTAAAAGTCATTCTTGCATATAGTGGCAATGATCCATGGATTAAATATTCCCCCAACACCCAAATAGAATTACTATGGTTTATTGTGTCCATCATTCGTGGATAAGTGAAGTCTCTCAAACACTTCAGCTAAAATGTTAATGACTTAAAAAGAATCATCAGCTCCTCAATGAAAACACCAAAATGGTTCTCTTCCTATCTCACTAATATTAACTCAAAGAAAATTAAAGTTAAAAAAAACTACTGCCTATTCAAATGCATGTTTTAAGTTAAAAATTATGCATAAATTCAGGATGCAATATTTCACCAAAGTAATTCTAACTGCTATGCTACATTTCTTTAGATTAAATTGATCATGTTTACATGGGCATAACATTCTGCAAATAAATCAACAGAACTTAAGATACAAACTGGGTTCTTAAATTCCACATTGATTGAATGAATGAAGATTTTATGGCTCATCACATTAAATGTATTTCTTATTAAGTACAAAGCCTTTAATAATAAATATACAAAGAGACTTCCTACAAAAGTTGGTTTTTTAGGGCTTCCCTGGTGGCGCAGTGGTTGAGAGTCCACCTGCCGATGCAGGGGATGCGGTTTCGTGCCCCGGTCCAGGAAGATCCCACATGCCGTGGAGCGGCTGGGCCCGTGAGCCATGGCTGCTGAGCCTGTGCGTCCGGAGCCTGTGCTCCGCAACGGGAGAGGCCACAGCAGGGAGAGGCCCGCATACCGCAAAAAAAAAAGTTGGTTTTTTAGACACCCATTCTAAAGTGTTGGGGGAAAAAAAGTTTTAAATAATTCCCTTTACATGCTGTACTAGCTCTGTTTATCTGGAAATTTTATTTTAATACAGTTGACCCTTGAACAACACAGGTTTGAACTGTGCGGGTCCACTTATACACAGATTTTTTTCAATGGTAAATACAACAGTACTACACGGTTGCGTTGCTTGAATCCAGAGATGCAGAACCACAGATAAGGAGGAACTACTTCCGCAAGAGGGCTGACTATAAGTTACAGTCTCTATTTTAGACTGCTAGGATTTTAGGCTGGTAGGAGGCTTGGTGCTCCTAACCCCTGCATTGTTTAAGGATCAACTGTATACAGATAAAGAAAAGTAGCGCTGTGGTAGTACTGAATTTACACTAAGCATGGGCACCTAGATTAAGCACGAGCCACTAAGGATCCATTCCTGGTCTATACCATCTAGCTCATAATGTCTTTTTGCAGTCTCAAGGTTGATTGGAGATATTTTCAAACCTATTCTACATGTGTGGTACCAACTGCAGGCTTCCGAAAAACAGGCAAATGTGAAAATAAAGCCCAACATTAAGGAACTAATACCACCAAATGAATGCTCCTGATGGCTGCTGGAAAAACCCCTTCCTTATTGGACGACAAAAAAAAAAAAACACCCATCCCATGTCATTGAAAAAGGGGAAAAGCAGGAGGAAATGAAGGGTAAAGTTAAACATTAGCTTTTTCATTAATCCGTGAACTATAATTATTAGTATTCAGCTACTCGACACCAGCTGCCCATCACACTGCAGATGCACAGTTAGTGAACTGCTGTCATCATGATTAAGACAGTCGTTACTGCTGCAGAAGCGGGAGATGCTCGCATCCACACCACAAGACTACTCCGTTACCCTCGAGGAGTCTGTGGGTGAAGAAAACCCCTCAGCAGCATCCTCCTTGATAACCTCCTAACAACACAAAACAAGAGTGTGGGTAAAAGGTGAAGGAGTAAGCCAAACAAGGATGATGAATGAACATGATGTTGAAATAATATATAACACTGAAACCTGGACCTGATTAGATTTTTTTCCTTCAATGATAATATTTTAAAATTTAAATAACAGCTTAAGTTCTATAGCTTTTGCCTCCTAATTTAAAAAATACATTAACAGGGAATTTCTTTTTTTTTTAATTGTTAACACACGTTTATCATCAGGAACACCTACAATTTTAGGCACAAATGTATTTTGTTTTGGATTAGAGTTAATAGTACATTGGAATACTTCCCTGATTCTATTTAATTTCTGCTATTCAATCAAAATGTTCTTTCAATACGTCCTCTAATTTTTATACCATAGGGCTAGCATGTATATACATAGATAGACACAACTACCATATATGTATGTCCTTTAAAAAGAAATCAGAAATTAGCAGATGTAAAGGTTTAGTTTTAAAAGTTTGATAACAAACATTATTGGCCAGAAACTCTGGTTGTAAACAACTCATCATTTACCTCCTGATGCTGCAAGTCATTTTCCTTTCATTGATATTTACCAGAAATGAAAACAAAATACATTTTGTGTTAGTAACAGCTTATGTTTCTTAAAACTACTTATAAAATAAGTTGCGCTTTTACTACAGAAAGGAAATAAGCAAACTTCTAATGCTGACTATGTTTCATATTAGAGTAATACTTTAGTTATGCTTTTTTATACTTACTAGGCCATTGCTCTGATCTCTGGGCAAATTCGTTTTTACTGATGGACGTGAGATGAGATGTTGGGAGCCGCCAGGGTAGTACCTTGGCGTGTAAAGGTAAGGGGCAAAGAATGGCTATGGAGAAAACACGTAACAAAACAATTACCGAAATCAAAGTGAAATGAGATGTAGCAAATGAAACTAACCAATAAAATACAACTCCAAGTTTTTAATGCAAGTGACAAAACAAAAGAAAAAATGCCTCACTCATATTCTCTAAGATATCAAACTTAAGACATATTATTTAAATTTTTATATTGTTGATTTAATAAAGCTTTTTAAAAAGCAACTAAAGTTTTGTACCTTACAACTTGACACCAGAGTTTCTCTATACATTTAACATTTTTATGGGTTTACCACGTGTCAGGTTCTAAGTGATTTACAAATATTAACTCACACTCTCATAAAAAAAAAAAAAGCAAAATAGAATCTCAATAGAATACTATTCTTTACCATAAAAAGATTAGCCTTAAGTAAGACCAAAGAAAGTCTGAATGATATGAGAACCTCCTATACATGGACTCCAGGAATACTGTAACTCTAGGTTCCTAGAGTTTACTTTATATTCTATATCCTGGAGTTTACTCTGTCTCCTAAATAAGCAAGCATATTTTTTAAATGGGGAATTCATTGTTTAGAGGAGATCTATAAATACACCATTTATTTGTATCCAGCTTCATATAAACAGGAGCTATCAGATTATATGGGCTAAAAATAAAGATTAAAACATATTAACTTTCATTACACTGATGTAACATCTTCCCTTACCTTTTTCACTCCTGCCATTTTAAGAAAACTGTTCTGCTTTTAACTTTCAGACTAAAAACCTCAAATAACTAAAGCAAAAAATAACTAGATCTAAAAACGTGAGAAATTTTTAAATGTTTTAAAAATAATAAAACGATATTAAAGCATCACAGCATTGTTATTCATGTGAAATTAGTGAACACAAGGTCTCCACCTAGATGGTATGGTAATTTAATATTAAAAAAAAAATTCTTGGTCTCAAAACTTCAACAGTCATCTAATTATCAATCGAACCGTTTTACGGAAAATTATAGCAGATTTTAAGACTGGCAAATAAAAACCTGCATTTCACACTGCCTACCACTCAGATAAAGTTTACAAGGATGAAATACATTAGAAAATGCTATTGCTCCACCTTTTTCTCCTTATTTGAGTAAAAGAATGGAATAACATTCACAGGACCCCTATAAATGGTATACCTAATAACTTACATGGCTGGCATTTCTCAAAAACTGGAAAATTTAAATTTTAGAATTCCTGCTTTGCCACATTTATTCAAATTTCTCTATCTTCCTAGCTTATAAGAAATTTATTTAGGCATGCACTTGGCTTCTATGAATACTAGCCCCTGTGTTTTCTCAAATTATACTAAAGAGGGAGACAACAAAAATAAAGAAACTGCAAGGGATCTTAGAGTACAGTTCCAGAAAGTATAATACTAGAGCAGATGCTCCATTTCCCTATAGGAAATATTAGCGTTTAAGACCATTAAAATGAGGATAGCTTGGACCTACTCAACTTGATAGGGTCTGAATACTGCTGATAATTAATTGTGCTCTCATCTTTTGAAGTAGAAAATTATCATATTTATACTATGCAAATGATTATACATGACTGAAGATAACTTGAAATAAAACTCTAGAAATTGGCTACATTGCTATTATTTGGCAATAGCACCTGAGTCCTACCAGCAGTATTTCCCACTATTATCTCACATTTAAAAGCTGTAACACATATTAAATATAGGTTTACTGAACTACTATAAAAATTATCATTGTTTTAAATGCCAATACAAGTTATTATACAAGATACAACAAATGGAATATTTGTCTATAAACAAATAGAAAAACAGATCCCTTTGAAGCATAGGGTAGTCTCTGCTGACCCCCCAGAGTTCACTTTCTTATTAAGATAATAAAAGCAAAAAGCATCTCAAATATTCAGACTCAACTGAGATCTAGAACCATTAAAATTCAAAATTCTTCTGATTTTTAAAAAATCATACTGCATTCAAACTTAACACTTTTTGTCTTTAAAGCTGAAGTACACTTTTAAAATAATAACAGACCCCATTAGCAGAAAACTTCTAATACTTCCCTGGAAGAAATTCTTAAAATTTAAGATTCCTAGCACTTGCTTACCCTGTTGTAGAACGGATGCTGGGGTCCCGTCATACCACTGTAATAGCTGCTATGAGGCTGTGGTGACACAACCCCTCCTCCAAACGGGGCACTGAAGGAGGCGGAAGAAGAGCAGGCCGACGCAGGCTGGCTGTAGCCGGACGGTGGTCTAGGGGGAGCTTCGTGCAGAGGTAGCGGGGGATACGCAAGTCCTCCGATATTAATCTGGTCTCTTGCAGCTCGAACATCTAAAAGATTAAACAACACCCCAGAAGGCAAAAGAAAATAGAACATTAGTATTTAATCCAATTACCATTTCCTCCTTTAGGTACCAGATAGAAACATGACTGTATCGCTCTTGCCAAGGATTTCAACGGGGTTACAGAAGTAGACAGGAAATTTTGAATATTCCATAGACATTTTAGCAAGAGAAACTCAACTACTTTGCATAAAAGCTTTTGTTCACCATTTGAAAAGTCACCAACATCTGGATTCTTCTCCTCAGTTACCAGAACTATAAACTTTTTTCTGACTTTTCAAGGTATCTGTGCTATTCTAACAGTTCTTGTGACTCATAGTTTCGTTAATTATTAATAATTCAAACTTGTGTAGTAAATATAACGTTAGCTAAGATTATGGGTTTGCAAACTATATGTCTCATCCACCTCTGAACAACAACAATAACCAATTCCATAGTCACAAAATACACCTCTGACAACAGCCTTATAACAGGTATCTAAAAAAGGATGTAGGAGTATAAGGCTCTCTCTCCATAATTCCTGGAAAATGCCAAGGTGAGTCAGGAGCACCTGCATCATACAGAAGATGGTCTGTTTCAGCAGAGGTTCTGTGTGTGTCCATGTGCATACAGTGGTGCCTCAAGGACAACTTAAATTCTTCCAAAATCCTCATGTCACTGTCCTCAAGTTCTAGTCCACAGATTTAAGCTAAAATTTTAAAAGTGATATAGATTTTCTTACCCCTCTGGATAGAGATCCCTATTAAAGACAGAAGACTGGTGACAGAAAAATTACAATGGACTGACATCTTAAAGTGGTGATTATACCGTTAAAAGGAACCTGATTCCAAAGAAGGTTCAGCTGTGTAGGCTGGGAAACATAAAAAGGTCAATTTAACAAACAGCATTTTCCTAGCATTCCCAAAAGATGTCAGACTGCCGATCCGCAGTTTCATTAATTCTCCTATGTAGCGCTTGGTTCGATATTTCTTGGTGTTTCATGGAGCGCAGGAGAAACTTACACAGCTGAGTCAGAAACAGGAAAAGCCTTCAGTGTTGCAGAGAGGAAAAAGTAAATTTATTACTAATACCCACCTGCAATTATTTCCCGTAGTTTGGGGTCTAGATTTACAGTGCATGGCAAAAAGGTTTTTACATCTCGAGCCACAAGAACTGGGGTCCTTGAAGACAAAAACACTTCAAAATTTCTTATATCTCCATCTATTTCCAGGAGTGGCTCAACATCTTTAGTTGTTGGAATATTCTTTGATATTCTTCAAATAAGAAACAAACAAAAATGGTCATTAATGTCACTATTAGGCAAATTCTGCATGTAACTTCAAATCTGTTATTTATAAAAGTAACACATTATACACCTTGCTCTCATAATTTTTTTAAAGAAAAGAAAAAGGAACAAAACAAGTGGTATAGTTACAAAATTACTAAGGTAACAAGTGTGAGGTCAGAATTACATTGCCCCAATGAAAGGCAGGATTTGGGCTAGGAAAACAGAGAAAGGAAAGTAACATATTCTAGGTAGGTCACATGTTAATGATTACCTCTCAGTGAAGACTATAAATGAGTTACCATTTTACACACGTGAACAGCAGCCTCAGACAAATTAAACAGTCTGCCTAAGTCACACAGCTAAGAGAATCTGACTGGCTCTAAAATCCATGCTTATTATAAAATACTAGGGTTCTTGCCTTTGCAAAGAAAAGAAGAAATAAAGAATAATTTCTAAATAAATTACATGAACTAGAAAAAAGCACAGATTTTTCCTTTTTTAAAAAAGGTTTTATTTTCTATTATAAAAGTAATCTGTGCTTACTATATAAGCATATATATAAGGCAAAGAAATACAGAAAAACAGAAAGGGGAAAAAAACCACATCATTTTACCAACCAGACACGATAACTACCAATTACCGTGTCACTTAGTCTATTTTTCATTATGCATAACTTTTAATCTAGTTGAATTTATATATGTAAATACTTTTGTATCAGGCAGAGGTCTTAAATGTAAAAACAAGTGACATTCATTAAAAAATACTTAGTAAACACTTCTATGTTGAACTATATGAAACTGACATTTTTATAGGTCAAAACAGTCAAATATTGACAATTCCATAGGGTTCAACCTACTACATGCCAGGCCATGTGCCAATCTGAGGCAGTGAGTAAAAATACATCACAGAGAGATAAAGGAATGGAAAATATGAAGGAGCTTAAAAGACAAGGAAGTAGAAGACAAATCTGGATATAACCCAAACATCCACTAACAAGGAAAAGATAAATAACTTGTGGTATAGCCATATAATGGAATACTACTTAGCAATAAAAAGGGATGGACTTATTTATATATGCAACATGGATAAATCTCATAGTAAATTATGTTGAGTGAAAGAATACAGCAAATGAAGAATACATAGTTGTATTTTTTTTCATTTATATAAAACTAGAAAATGTAAACCAACCTATAGTGACAGAAAAAGGATAAAGGTTCCCTGTGAAGTCAGGGATGTGAGGAAGAGAAATGACAGGGAGAGACTTCAAAGGAATGGGAGGGGACTTTAGGAAGTGATATGTCTGCTCTCCTGACGGCGGCGACAATTTGGTGGGGATGCGTGTTGTGTGCCTATATATGTGTATACATATTTAAACTTCAGGAATTGTACAATTTAAATATGGCAGGTTATTGTATGTCGATTATATCTCATAAAGCTGTTTTAGAATCACTGTAAATCTGAAGATGTCTTCAAAACACTCAATTCCCAATTAGTCAAGAATATTAACTGTGAGATTATACTGAGTCTAGTTTCAGAGAAGCAGTAAGATTTTCATGCCCTTCAAAAAAGTGAAATGGAATCTTACTCTAATATTAGTTAGAGTTACATAATTTCTCTGGGACTAGCGCTTTACTACTCAGGCCCACTACTTGGCTAGCAGCCATTTATTAAAAGCCATCTAAAAGAAAATCCAGAGAACAAAATTAGCAAACAAGAAAAGAATAGGGTGCTGCTTAGAAAATAAGGATAGCAATTTTGTCTTAATGAATTTCAGGAAGTCCCTTTTATGGACTCATGCACACGTGCACAAAACAAAAAGCCCTCTGAAATGGGATTACTTCTTAATAAATTAAACTGGCTTTCAAACTGATTATTAAATATATTTAAAATGAAATGGAAAACTTGAAGAATGGTTTCACAGAGTCATCTGCAGAAGTGGCCAAAATATCAGAGCTTAAACAGTTAAAAAGGTAGTTCATCTATTTCAGGAGTTTAACATAAAATACTAAGAAGAGAAGCTAGAAAGATTTAGATAAAAACACAGCTGACAAGTCACATGAAACAAATTAACTGAATTTTAATGCCAGCTCTGCTTAAGCTTGAATGTGAACAGTGTTCTCAATACGATGAACAATACTGCTGTTCACAAGCCAACAGTCTGCTGCTGGTTTCCAGATTGAAGTCTCTATTCTAACCTTTTGAGCTCAATACATTAAACTCTTCTACTGAAAGAGATATTTATGTAAATGATAATCTTTTGGCAGTAGGCCACCAAAATCATATGTGCCCTTATTTTTCAGATATTTTTCCAAAGGTTAGTATTTAAAGAATTTAAGCAACTTCACTTTTCAATTAAGAGTGAATTTAAATTTCCAGTATTATGAATCATGTGAATTAAAGCTGCCAGCAGTTAAATGGCCCACAGAAGGCATTATAAAACCTCAGGCATCAGTGATCTCCCAGTAAGTTTAAATGCAATCTCCTTCTATGCTACCAATCTAGCAGTGCTTGTTAATGCCAACATCAATGTAAGTTAAAAGCATTTTGATTATAAATGACAGTGGTTTAGAGAAAGTCCATATTAATTCCTTGGCAGAAATTACATAAGCCGTTCATATCACTTCCATTCAAAATAAGGTTTTAAATTACATAGAAAAAATTCCATTTTAAATCAAAATATAAATAGGGTCTAAGAGCATAATTTATGAAGAAGGCATATTTACCTTACTTTGTCTAAAAGTAGCTGCCTAATAATGTCATTATTTAATCGTAAGAGATTAAAAATTAAGATAAATTTTCTTTAAAAATTTTAAAAGGGAAAACTTAACTGCCTCAGAATTGAATTGCTTTGAAACAATTTAACTTCCAGTAGACTCTCAAATACTTTCTGTCAGTGAGTGTCCATTTGTTAAGTACTCTTTATGCACAGAACACTTGGAGATTCTGGAAGATAGATGGGACACACAGAAAACAGCCACTCAGCATTGTAGCCAAACGGGTCAGAAACAAAAGATAAAATGAAATCCATTGTTATGTCCATTACTATCTGCAGACAAAAACTCTAGACAGCTCTGGAGCTAACCACACTCTCCCCTTCCGTCTTAACCAGGTTAATTCCTGCTCATCCTCTGTCTCTCAGCTCAGCTCCCCCTCTTCAGGGAAGTCTTCCGTGAAACCACATTGCACTCCTCTATTACAAACCCTCATAATAGCACATACGCTTTCTTACATACACATATCACAATTAGAATGTTACATTATTCAGTAGTGGAATTATTTTATTAATGTCTATCTCCCCACACTAGATGGTAAGTTCCATTAAAGCTAAGAACAAGTTTGGTTTTGTTCACCACTGTATCTCCAGTGCTTAGCGCAGAATGCTGTCATATGACTTTTGCGTAATAAATATTTGTAGAGTGAACAAACTACACAAAACAGTATTGTTCCCAAAGAACTCTATTCTTTTAAAATAATTTTCACTTTAATTACCCTTTCTGATATTGAAAAAAAAAACCTTGTGCTTGGGAAAGAGTACATTGATCCATTTCAGTTAATTTTTGTACATGGTGTGAAATAAGGGTCCAACTTCATTCTTTTGCATGTGGAAATCTAGTTGTTCCAGCACCATTTCTTGTACAGACTATTCTTTCCCCCACTGAATGGACTTGGCACCCTTATTAAAGCTTAACTGGCCATAGATGTATGGGTTTATTTCCTGACTCTCAACTCTATTCCACTGGTTTATATGTCTGTCCTTATATCGGTGCCACAGTGTTTTGATTACTATAGCTTTGTAGTTTGTGGGTTTTTTTTAACACCTTTATTGGAGTATAATTGCTTTACAATGGTGTGTTAGTTTCTGCTTTATAACAAAGTGAATCAGCTATACACATACATATATCCCCATATCCCCTCCCTCGTGTCTCCCTCCCACCCTCCCTACCCCACCCCTCTAGGTGGTCACAAAGCACCGAGCTGATCTCCCTGTGCTATGCAGCTGCTTCCCACTAGCTATCTATTTTACATTTGGTAGTATGTATAATTCCATGCCACTCTTTCACTTTGTCCCAGCTTACCCTTCCCCCTCCCCGTGTCCTCAAGTCCATTCTCTACCTCTGTGCCTTTATTCCTGTCCTGCCCCTAGGTTCTTCAGAACCATATTTTATCTTATTTATTTATTTATTTTTAGATTCCATATATATGTGTTAGCATATGGTATTTGTTATTCTCTTTCTGTAATAAGTTTTAAAATCGAGAAAGAGTTCTCCAACTTTATTCTTTTTCAAGATTGTTTTTGCTATTTGGGGTCTCTTGCAATTTCATATGAATTTGAGGATCAGGTTTGTGTTTCTGCAAAAAAGGCTACTGGAATTTAGAAAGGGATTGCACTGAATCTGTAGATCACTTTGGGTAATACTGACAATATTTAGTCTTCCTATCCATGAAGATAGGATATCTTCCCATTTATTTAGAACTTCTTTAATTTACCAATGTTTTGTAGTTTTCAGTGTACAATTCTTTACCTCATTGGTTAAATTTATTCCTGGATATTTTATTCTTTTAGGCACTATAGTAAATAGAAGTGCTTTCTTAATTTCCTTTCAGATTGTTCACTGGAAGTGTATAGAAACTCAACTGATTTTTGTGTTGATCTGTACCCTGAAACACTGAATTTCTCAGCTCTGGTAGCTTTCTTGTGAAATTCTTTGGGATTTTCTACATACAGCATCATGTAATTTGTGATTAAAGATAGTTTCACTTCCTCATTTCCAAATGGATCCACTTATTTCTGTTTCTTGTCTAACTGTACTAGCTAGAACTTCCAGTATAATGTTGAAGAGCAGTGGTGAAAGCAGGTGACTTAGTCAACTCAGACTGCTATAACAGAATACCATAGACTGGTGGCTTAAACAACATTTATTTCTCACAGGTCTTAGAGTCTGAAAGTCTGCGATCAGGGTGCCAGCATGATCAGGTTCTGATGAG